AGCTGAGACAGACATGGGGGATGAGACAGGGATTTCTATTGGCGACTGCAGAGGAAGAAGAAGCTGAGAAGGAGGTTGATTTTTGAAATTCAGCCCTGGTGTCCTGGCAGCTGTTGAAGGGCCATAAAAAAGGCAGTGGTTTAACACTGGGTGAGCATCAGGATCTTCAAAGCACTTTCTTGTTTGGGAAAGATGTGAGGAACTCCTCAGAATTCCTGCCTGTGTTTGGAGGGGTGGAGGCTGTAGCCTGCTCCGAAGGGGGAATAGGAAGCTCCAGATCTTCTTCCAGCAGATATTTTTCCCATGCTCTTTCCTCCCACACAGCAGCTCCCTCCCTTCCCTTCTGGAGCAGCAGCAGGCAATAGTTTCAGAACAGTGTTTGGCTGTCTCAGATTTGCAGGGTGCAGCTTAAGAACTAACTTGCTGTTTTGAAAGAATATATTTTGAAGAACAGAAACCTTACTAGAACAGTGCTGCTGTGAAAAAATCTCTAGTGTGAGAGCAATGGCCTCTAGGAGTTCCCTGCACCTCATCAGGCTTTGCATCATAAGTGAAGTTAACTCTGCTGCTTAGTTTAGGGACAGGCTGCACCCTCACACCCAGATGCTATTTAAAGGCAGTATTTAACTCTAAATGTAAGTATTTAACTTATATTTAGAGTATTTAACTCTAGGAAAGCCACTTCTTACTTGCAGTCTATTAGTTCTAGTTGTATTCCCTCCAATGCAAATAAAAACTCCATATTTAATTTTTTTTTTTTTAATTCCTAACAACTTCTATCTAGATGTCTTGGTATGCCATAGAGATTGATGTTCTGAGCTTCCCAGTCTCACATTAGGAAACAGTTTGCCTGAAACGGGGTAATAATATGCCAGTGTTAGAAAGGATTTGAACCCTGCATCCCACTTCATTATATTAATACAGACCTACACCTACCTATGTAATGATTTTACTCAGTAAATGGTAAGAACCACTGATTATAGCAGGGAAGCTTAAAAAAAGAAAGAAGATAAATGAAGCATATAATTTTCATAATTCCCCTGATTCTTTTTAATACCATGCTACTGAATGCATTTCAAAAGTTTTCCCTTGAAGGAGAAAAAAGGAGTATTCATTTTAAGCTATTATTTTATACTGTTCATTAGCTATTGATTAAAAGTTTTAGAGGGATTTATGACATCATTATTTAAAACTCCTACAAGAAAAGTAGTCCTGACAAAGCATCATGTTCAAAGATTGATTATGAGATTGGAGCTGTGATGGAAGAGAATGCAGTTGTCTTGGATCTTTCATGGAGAACGACTCCATCCCTTTTGAGTTCAAATATCTTTGTTTTCTAGACTCTTTCTTTGAATGCAGCTAACATGGTGTGGTATGGAAAAAACCAGTACTGAGATACCAGACTGCAATTCAACTAACATTTAGAGAAAAGGTCCAAAAAAAGAAGGCAGGTTCCAGAATTTGATTGTGATGTCTTCTTGGAAGGCAACAGTTTCTGAATGAGTTTTGTGCACTGTAGAAGTCCAGTCTGGAAAAATATACTGAACAGCTGCAATAGAGAAATCTCCCAGTGATCTGCTTAGTAAAAGGTGGAAGGTGGCATTGCTGCTACTGTTTGGCTCTGTAGAATAAATATTAGCTCAATGACTGGTCACCACCGTGGCTGAAAACAGGATCTGAGTGCAGATGGCATTAGAGCTTCAGGCCTTTACTTCTCATTCTTTCAGTATGTTGCAGTAGTCTAGCTGGGATTGCCTCAAGTATGCTGCTTGCTTTGCACAGATCCTCATTTCAGGAAGACTTGCGCAGCATCAGTAAAACTTTATTGCCCATATTTGCATAGAACTAGATGCAGAATCAGGGATCAGAGAAAAGCTGTGAAGTATAACAATATTCCCTAAAGGTCTTGTATTTATGAAATGACAAATCTGAGTCCTTTGAGAGATTGCGGCTTGATGGTAGGAAAAGGTTGTCCATCACAACCTTCAGAGATCTAGCATAAAAGTGTATGAAGCTGTCATCCATTACATCTATCCATTTCTGCCAGGTCTGAAGGGGTATAGGAAGTTCCTTTGATCAGCAGAGTTAATTGTTGAATACTCCAGGGAGATTGATAAGCCTGTGTGACACTGGATACACGTTCTGAGGAGATCATGGATTTATGTACTACATTTCCCCTGAGCACAGATAAGTGGATTTAATCAAGCAGAACTTGATTTACTATATCTTCTCTGTGAATTTGTCCAACAAAAAAGCCCGAATCCAAATGTAGGAACTGAGAGCATTAGCATCCCTGTCTTCCCTCTCACCTTCCCCACTTGTCATGCTCCAGGCATTTCTTTTTGTTCTTGACTACAAATAGTTTGGGGCGAAGCACTCATCTGTGTACATGAACATATATACACATGTACATAAGCTATCACGTGTACTGAAGGTGCTGGATGCTTCCATTATGTTGGGAGGCATTAGCAAACTAGATGATCCCTAAGGGCTTTCACCATTCAGCAAGGCAAGATACAGTCCTATCCTGGACAGACTTGCTTCTTGGAGGATTGGTTCAGAGTCAAAGACAATGGGAGTTCTCCATTCCATAGCCAGAGAAAGTCTTTCAACAGTTTACAGTCCTCCCTACAAGCCTCTACGTAAAGCTGCAGCAAGAACCACCAGTATCTAGATGGAGGGCTGCAGATCTTTTCTGCAGGCTGAATCTGCAAAAACTCTGCACTGAAAGAAAAGTCAGTTCAGTGTTCCATGGAGAAATTGAAAGTTATTTGTCACAATTACATTCAGATCTATTTGTTTTCCAGTTATCCAACACCCTCAAATGTAGTCTAGCTAGCGCTGATAGCAAATGCTGAAAACTACAGAAGAAAAGTTCAAGAAATTGTTTGAAAGATTCTGCTTTGACAGCAGATGGCTGTAGAACTTCAGTCATGGGCTTCAGTCACTGGATGATCTGCCTTGTTCTGGAAGTGTTCTTCACCTGGGCTTCCACATCATTCAAGTAGTGAAGTTGCTTAGGTACCTGTGGATTTTGTAGGAGACTCAGTCAGTCATAATGTGTAATCTCGGTGGCTGAACCATAGTGTGTGCATTTATTCCAGCTATGAAAAAGATCCATTGCGGTTTGTTTCCCAATGACTGGCACTGGAGAGGCTGCATGGGAGATTTGGGGTTATCTTGTATGAAACAACTGTTTGTAGGGACACTAATTCATGTTTTAAGTAAGACCTGCACAATAATTCTTCCACAGTGTGGTAACTTGCAGAGATGCCACACACCTGTACTGATCCTGCCCTGTATTGAATAGTGAGTGCTTTGCTTTATGGCGGTTCCAGTTGTTTGTAGCGTAAACAAGGAACTGAGTCAGAAGTAAACTCTTCAGTGCAAAAATCTCCCAAGTCTTTAAAGACTGTTAATATCTTCTTTGTACTTCCATACAGTTAGTTTATCAGAAAGTTCACTGACTGTCACAGAAGGTGAAGGGGTACTTGTGGTTCATTTGATTCCATGTCTGCACGTAACTAAACACGGTACTTGAAAGGATACCAGGTCAGAGATCACACAGGAATTATGTTGTGCATATTACGATATAACATACCTGTGGAACTTCCTACTGAAAGACAGGAAAAACTCTTGTCCAAGAATCTTCTGAAAAGCACAGAAATATGAAGAGGACAGGTATCAGGTGCTTGGAACAACACATGACACCTGGTCTTACAGGATTTTGAATTGTGTTATTCCTTTGTCATTCTGCAGACATCATATATACATTTGCTTTCAACATCCCTGGTCATGTTCTTCCTCCTTCAAGAAATCAACTGTTGTGTAAGAGACTACATGTACTGTAAATGTGCAAAAGACTGAAGACATGCAAACACTGAGTGCCCAGCTAGCTGCTGCTTTTTGACTGCCAGGCAAGGCAAACAGCATGTACTTTCTGCATCTGCTGGCAGACCACATACATAGCTTCAGGAGTTGCAGTCAAGCCCTGGATTCCTAGACCATATATCAGGGAGACCTCTTGTAGGATCCTGTGATGTTTAAGCCCCTCAGCTCTCCATCAGATGCAATTGGCCAAGAGTCGGAAGTCACTGGGAGAGGGAGGATTGGCAGCTGGCAGCAATCACAGAAGTCCTTCTCCAAGCTAACCATGACAAGAGTAAGCATGAGTCATAGTATAAACTGAAGACCCCAGAATTATCTACATTATGAGCTTTCTGCTTACTCCTGAGTTGGCAATTTTTAGCTCACCATATAGGCTCAGCACTTGACTCTAGGCAGTAGTGTCCAGACAGCTCTGACTTTTTTTTTTTTTAAATTTTTTTTTATTTGGGTCTGCTGCTTCTGCTTTTGAGTGTTGATTCAGCAGGAATCTTCTTCCCTATATTGCAGCATCTAGGCATTTGGCACTGAAGATGTTACTTTCTTCTCCAGGAAGCTTCTTAACCCAGCACTGAATCCAAATTGGTGCTCTAGCCCCTTTCCCTCTGGCGTTGTTCCTAGGCTGTTGTGTCAAACACAAAACAATATTCAGTGGCTCAGAGCTCCTTGCATCCAGGAGAAATTGCATTTTCACACTTTCCTCTGCAAAGCCAAGGCAAAATTATTGCCAAAACTAATTTCTTTGCCCCTACTACGCACGTCCTTGTCAACGATGAAACCAAAAAAGAGTGAAGAGAATTAACATTTTCTGTAAATTTCTGAGATAGGAAGCATCCTGCTTTTAGCTTTCTTTTCTTCCTCTTTGTCAGTTCCTGTCTTCCCTGAAGTGCTTTCCTCTTCCCACTACTAATGCTACTAGTCTGAGAAGAAATTTCAGCCAAAAGAAGAAAGGACATTGAGGTTTTTGGTCTGATTTTCCTCTTTTTGGGTGCTAGGAACTCCAATATATTCATGCAGCTTCATGTACTGTTTAATAGTTGGGCAGTCCTTCTCCCCTGCCCCAGGAATTGAGTCTTTCTTATTTGCAGTGACACATTAGCTATGCTCTCTTACAGGCTCCTGGACTGTCCAGCTTGAGAAGGGATGCACTGTAGTGGTGTTGAGAAGTCTGCTGTGGCTTGGACTGACATTCTACCATGTCCCAAAGACCAAGCAATATGGCTACATCTACTGTGGCACTGGTGAGAAGAACTTAGATCTGCCTTTCATGCTGTGAAACACTTCTCTGGGATGATCATTCAAAAAGATTTAGAATTTATATTTGGGAGATTTATAGCTTATTCTAATAAACGCGTGAAACCTCTGCACTGTGAGCTGGATTGTTTTGTGCCTTGATTTTTTCCTAGGACTTCACAGCATGAATCCTCACCTCCTGATTAAATACCCTGTAATATGTCACGACAGATCCTTCAGCTAGTAACAAATGACACTTTCTTCCATGAAGGGCAAAGTCTTAGGTCAGAAATCAAACCTGGGCCATCTGATTGTGTACAGAGACATGATGCTTTAAACAAAATCTCATCTGGAGGAACATCAATGAATGCCTGCTGTCACCCATGAATGCCAAACGAAAGCAGAGTTTTTGCCTTGGAGTTAGAGTAAAAAGCTGTTGCTTACTCTAAGGGATCATGAAGACAGGAGTGTGTTTTGTTTTTCAGGTGTTAGGCTTCACAAAAATTAGTGCAGTCTTTCCAGCTTATTTCACAAAACTTTAGAAAAAAATTCACTGTAGGCATCATCTAGTTGTTTGCAAAACTTTCTCATTTAGGTTCACCTCAAAGCTATGGCTTTATCCAGTGACATTTCTGTTAGCACAACTCACTGAGCACAGCTACCTGGGCTAGAAAACATATCCACTTCCGTTCACAGGAGAAAGAAAAATCTTTTCCTTTCTGAAGGGCTGAAGGTTTCAAAGCTTCGTTAAAACAGAGATGGCCAGCCCAGAGATTTTAGAGTGTCGGTTCTTTCCCAAAGCCAAAACATCTTAGCCAGCTCAAGGGGCTAAATTCAGGGCTTGCATTTCACAGAAGCAAAAAACAAACAAAAAACCATTATAAACTAATTTGATTTCCCAGGTAACATGGGTTTATCCCAATCCTTTGTTCCTGTCCATACCAGGAAGTATTAACTGATAATTCTGATGCAAGCAGTACATATAAAAGGCTGTGTTGATTTGTGGCTTTCAGATAAGTATCAAAGAAACGGAACCAATAATGACCCTAATAATTTAATAAGCCTTTCATATGAGGCCCTTAATTAGCACTTCTTAAGAGAAATGATCAGTGGAAGTTGCATACAGATATTATATAAGGACAGAAATGGTGCCACCTTTCACTTACAGGGTAGAAAATTATGCACATCTGTCAGCCCAAAACTATCCTGAGAAGGACCCTCATCACTGACATGGAAAATGTAGAAAATGCATTTGCAGGGAGAAAAAGCAAGTCCAGTTGTCAAGAATATCAACATTGTGTATTTGCTTGATTCAGGAAGGATGCACAAGGTAGGAATACTGAACTGGATGTGTAAGAAATACACATGCCTGTCTGCCACTGCCATGTGTTTTCTGCTGCGAATTACAGATAGTACAGATTATAAAAATATTTCACTTTGGTAGTCATTAACATAACTTGTTACTGCTGAGGAAACACAGTGCTGCAGGAGGTTTTTTCTTCCATCAGTGTCGGGATACAACAGCCCAAATGAGGCAAATCCAAATTGAAACACATTAAAGGGGAATTACCATTTATTTCTGGGAAAGAAGGAAACCACCTTTCCAAGCCCAGCAGTAGACTACAGTGACAAAGAAGCCTTCCTGCCTTTGAGGTAAAATCTTGGCCCCCTGCTTTCTCCAAAATCATTCTGAACGTTGAATTCTGCTTTGCTGAATCCTGTTTTCCTTGAGGAACATCGCAGCTTATTCACCAGAGACAATACAGAGCACTAATGAGAGTTTTTGAATTTGGAAATACCAGCAAACTTGCAAACAAAAAAACAGAACAGTGTAAAACAGCTGTGCTCATTGACTGTGCCAGTTCAGGAATCTAGTGGTTGTAATAAAGCGGCTTGTATATATATTTGACATTATCCTTCAGAAGAAGGTTTCCAACCGGCATGGGAACTCTGCACCACTTAGGGCCCCTCTTCCAGATGGGCTTTGCAGATCTGACGGACCAGCGAGTCAGATACCTGTCAAAACAGTACACACGTATTTCAAATTGAGACCGATCACGGCAAAACAGCTTTAGTCAAAGCAGAAGCTGACACTCATTTGCCTGCCTTTGCCTCTCCGCCTGCCTCTTTATGAAAGCAGTAATGATGAGCAGAACTCTCTCAGTTCAGAAGGGAACCACTGAAAAGGACTATTTGTTTTGGAACTGCTGCACCTCTGCTGTACTGTAGCCACTGGCACCTGCCTGACTTCCAGTCGTGTGAAACAAATCAGGTGTAATCTCCAGGCTGCTGGCAAGTTGTCCACCTGTAGCGAACGTGGAGTGCTGAATCCCTTCATTGCAACTAAGTTCAAGAGCGAGTCCATCCATTTTCTAGGGGAGATGTCATTTCAAGAGCTCGCCTCAATAAAATAAACTGATTACAAAGGCCAAGTTCAGTTAAAATAGTCTCCAAAAAAGAACTAGTTTGCTTTCAGTGGATCAACAGGTACTTCTTTTCCACAGGATGTGATTCTGGCCCAGTTTTTGCATTTTCATATGCTTCAATTTGCTTTAGCATTCTCTTTATAATACTATTCCAGTTTGCTGCTGCAGGAAGTCAGAACCTGCAATGGAAGAGGTACTATAATTGAATTTTTGCAACTGCAAATCTCTGTCCGGAGTAAAGTCTGGCAAATATCCTCTGCTTTTTTACCATTTGAAGTTTTAGACTTGGCTTTGCAAACTGGCAGGGGATTTCAGATTCAGAATCGGTTACTGGAAATCTTACCCTGCGGCTGGGTGGCCTGGAGTTTTGTTAGGCTTTAAATCTTTTGCTACCAGTAGAGAGGGAACAGAGGTCTTTAGAGAAAGAAGAGTCTTTTTAGACAATAAAAATCCAAAGTAAAACCCCAGCATAATCTGCACAAACAATGCTCCAACAAATTAGAATTTGGAACAGTCTGATAAACTTTGTCCAGCGATGTTTGCATGCCTATGTTGAGTAATCCCATGGTCTTAATGTAACCTCAATCAGTCATCCTCTTCCCAAACAGCTTTGTTACCTTTCATTTGCATCATGCAAATTGGAGATATTAAGAACTTTGGACAGAGACCATGTAATGCATTTATTTGAAGGCATGTGGCAGATTCCCAGGAACTACAAAGAAAGCTTGCAATGCCAGGCAGCTATAGACTGTGTAACAGCAACACATTTTCCTAGTACTTTTCTTCCCCAGTGATCCCAAACAATACAGATTGAAAAAATGGATCACATTTAGAGGTTCCTGCCACTGAAATCAAGCCACTTTCAAACTTGAAAGCTTTTACTTTCAGGACATCATGATAGTTAGGATGGCAGGAGGGATTCAAAAGATGGTGTGGAACAAAGTTCAGTCAGTTTTTCTCACATAAATGCAATATATTAGCCCCTTTTGAATTGTAATGTTATACTGCTGCATTAATGGAATCCCTTACATAACAATATGAGGATAGCAAGTCAGAGAGACTCCTATCTCTCATTCCAAACGTCAGGGGAGTTCAGAGAGACCAAACACAGGTCCCTACTTGGGAAAGAGCCAATGGAAGGCAGCTTTTTTTGGAAGAAGGTGTAGAGTTATTTGACAGGCACATGAGGCTGCATCTTCTCACACTTCCCCATGAAGGGAAGTCTGTAGCACAAATTTTAGTATCACAAGACTGCAGTTACAACAAAGGAAGAAAAAAAAAATCTGAAATTGTTTTAATGCAACAGTATGTCAAGTGCAGTTCTGGTCATGTGTCTGCACGTGTACAGGAAAGTGGTCCCGTGGTAATAAATGTTCTCACTGAGAGAGAAGCAAATGTGTGAATGCGAGATACACATCAATGCTGTGTGCAGGTTTAGACAGACAGTGGCTTTTTAAGAAATCCCTCTGTTTCTGTGTGGGGGCTGAAAGTGCACACCCCAACTCTGCATAGGAAGGAGGATTTAGTAATGGCCTGATTTTAAAGCTTTTGTTATTTCTCCTTTGAGCAGGTCTAATCCAGCCCTCTGGTCCAGGCTTTTAGCTTCCTTTGGGGACTGCAGGCTGGGGCTTTTCATTGTTTGCTGAAACAGACATTTGGACGCTTTCCCTTCCTGGAGCACATTTGCTTTTAGCACTTTTAATACTTGCTTTGTCCCAAACTCAAACTTGTCCTATTTTGTTTGCTGCTTTTTTTTTTTTTAAAAACCTTGATTCAGCAATAGCAAAAGCCTGATGCCTGGGAGCACTCAGTCTACGAAATTTCTTTTCCTCTTTTACTAACCCCAGTTCCTACTGTTTCATAGCATAGATTTCTTTTTTGTCCCCAAGAGTAACAAGAATCCACAAAACTCATATATGAGAGCTTCAAAGCCCAGCACACAGGACTTTCCTGTGAACTCTACTGTCCATGTAATCTAGTGTTTCAAGAAATCATGTACCCTTCTCTAGCCAAGTCACCCAAGTTTCCATTGTAGCAAGCCACCTGGTTTGTCCTGGGGAGCTTTTACAATAACCTACAGACATACACTGCCAGATGGTCTAAATTTTCTCAATCAGCTGAGGATTGTCAGGACACAGTCTCCATGTGGATGCCAGATGCAACTGGTGTCCAGTCTCCTAACCGGTTATCTCATTATGCAGAGCTCTCATTCTGGACAAAGGAGGAAAGAAATGCAATCTCAGAAAGCAGCAACCAAGCCCAGGGCTCTGCTAGCCACCTTTTGTGTGGTGGGATCCCAGAGAACAACCAGAATCCCTAGACTCCAGATACACAAGTGACTAGTTTGGACAAAGCAAGATGGAAATCTTGGTCACATTCCTATGATTGGAAATGGCAAGACATAAAATGCATGGAAAAAGCTGTAATTAGTCAGCCACAGTCACTGCAGTTACCTAAAATATCTGTGGCACGTAGAAATCAGTTTCCATGGATTTTATTCCATGAGCAGGAGGGCCCCAAACCCTTCCCACCTAGAGGCTGCTGCTTAACACCTTGAAATAAGCACAGAAATTCTGTGTGCTGGGTAAAAGAAATTATCTACACGTAGGGCTACTGCAGCTCTGTGTGCAGCCCAAGTATGCTGGTGCGGTTCAAGGCTGAACTTCTGAACCCTCATTGAACTTTTTCAGTCCGTCTCTTGTTTGGATTAAGAGCAGAAGGCAGCGGGCTACAGACTGTGCAGGAAGCATTCTATCAAAGTGCTGGCAAGACTGCCTCCTCTCTGCCACATCCGTTCCCTTGACACTTCTTGGTTTTGCTCACCTGCAGCCACTCCAGCTCTTTGCTCTTTTGAATTCACATGCTATGCACACACAGTTTCCATACAGATGAGAGAAACCACAAGCTGCTGGAATGAAACACTGATAGCAGTGAAATCATATTCTGCTCTGAGGGATGAGAGATGTCTGCAGAGCCTGAGAACTTTATAATTCATAAGGAGCTCATATGGAACCTGCCTCTTCCCTGACACACAGCAAATTCTCCAGTTCACGTGGAGGAAGGACTGACCTGGATATTAGCTGTGCCAATTTCTGTTCTTCCAGTAGGAAGCTGAAAATGGAATAGTAACTGAGAACTTAAAATCACATACTCCACATGTACAGCACGTCTTGCTGACAAGAGTACGGGTGACTCAAGGAACGTGTGACATCCTTCAGTCTTTTGGAAAAGGGAACAACTTCTCAACATTATATTTTAACCAACAACAGGGGCCTACCAGAAGAAAAAGAGTGGTATATTCACGTTAAGAAAGCATCTAGATGACGGCCTGAACTTGGTGTCTGTTCTGGATAGTTAATCCACAATATCCACGCAGTAAACTCCATGCTGTAAACAAAACTGCTGAGTTGTTCAGGTTTCCACTCCTGGAAAGCAAGTACAGAAGTGTGGCCTGCAACTGTACTTGACAGCTTCCCAAATTGGTTTTGGTGTGTGGTGGCCTGCACATACGACCCTGGAATCTGCAAACAGCCTGTCACTCCACACAGTGTTGGTGTAATCCTTGAAAACGTCCTCAACCTCATGGGCTAGTGACAATATTTTGTTGCTGCAGCACTTTACCAGAACATGCCAGGCTGGAGCATAAATGGACTCAAAATTAAGAAGTAATAACAGGAAGTTATGAAAGGGAGAATTCAGACAGGCTGAGGGAACAAGCTTTGGCTACAAGACAAGTTTGCTTGCAGAATCAACCCTTGGAAACAGTGAAAGCCCCAGACTGGGCCAAATAAATGAACCATAGGGACTAATTCTGTAATGACAGGGGTAATCTTCACTGGTTTCATGCCCAAGTTCTGTAGATAAATGTTATGAAAGAGAGGGAGAGGACAATAGACTGAAGAGTTTACGGATGATGCAGAAACTCTGATGGCCATATTTCTAAAGAAGAGCCCACAGCAAATAAAGCAGTTAAGCAATAATATGCATGAGCTCTCATCATCAAAAACAAATCAGGCAGAATGTGAAAAGAAAGAACTAAATCCAAGAAATGAAGAATGCCACAGTGGGTCTTTACCTGGACAGTGTTCCAAATGCAGGGAGTAGAACAGAGAGCTGTGGAGTGCCCCTCAATTAAATTCTGTTCCACACATCACCCACTACCATGATGGCCAGTGTGGCTCAAACTGGCATTCCACTTTCATGTGGTACCTTCTTTTACAGTTCCCCATCTCCTTCTCTATGTTACATTACATCCTGGATGATGGATGTGATCACATACACTCTGTGCTAGAGCTGCATGACCAAGAACAAGCTGGGATCAAAAGCATCCTGCTTTTACTCTTGCATCCCAGAAACAGGTTAAGAAATGGGGTCAGCTGCCTGTGAAATGACCCAGTACAAAACAGGTAAATTCTTACCAATATGCAGACAATTCTGGGGCATGTAAGAGAGAATGTCTGAAGTATGTACAATGGAGACAATAAAACGACTTCAGAAATATAACAGTGATTCTGCTTGTAAGCACCAGAAAAGCACCTTCCAGAAAAGCAAGAAATCCAAACTTCACATCAATAGATCAACTGCAGGGCAGCATCCCTGATCCTTGTTAAAAGAGTGGTCAGGGCTTTCTAGAGGAGATAGAGAGCAGAAGAATCTACTTCAACACTACACACAGAGCAGACCCACTGATGGTGGAACGAAGAAGCCATTACTGCAGGATGAGTTGGAGAGTACATGGGCTGGTCAAACTAGTGCTAAGGAATGTTCATTAGCTGTATTCTAGTCTTGAAAAGCTTTAACAAATAGCCCAAGATGCAATCTGGTACAACTGCACATTACATGATCGCTCATTTTCTCCCCATTGACATTCCCAGGGCTACATTAGCAGTGCAAAATAAAGCAGTTCCTTCTTATTTAAACAGAGATAAAGACAACCACAGCAGTCAATACAGGGATCTCAAGAAAAGCTCAATCTCAAAGATTTGGAAAATTGTTCAAAACAGCACCTACCATGATAGGCTACCTGTGCTTGAAAACCCAGCAGGCTTCAAGTGCTGGCTCCCTTGCATTTGGAGTTACCACATGTTGAGTTCATTCCTGCTTACTATGGCCTTACAAAGACTTCAAGAATGGTTACACAGGCAAAGGGAATGTAAGCTTGGACAAGTCATTTTCAGAAGAAACTTCCAAGAATAACTCTGTCTTCATTCCTCAAGTAAGTGCTGGTTAAAAGTCTATGGCATGCACAGGTACCCTTCCAAACTTGCAGGGGCACTCTGCCCCTGTAGGGCAGGAGGAAGGAAGTAATTAACTCCTGCTTCAACCAATGCCAGCTACGGTTCCACAGAACAACGTGGAAAGTCCAGAAAGGGGCAGGCATAAGTAAAACTCTCAGAGAGGCACACTGGATAAGATTTCCAAGGAGATACAGATTTTCCCCTTCCAACAGACTGAGAAGTTAATGTTGTAAAGACCACAGATGCACTCCTGAAGTACCCTCTACCCTGGTTCCAGGACTTATTTAGTTCCAGCTCCATCACTACCAAAGCTTTCAATCAAATTTCTTGATCCCTTCCATTGTCTCCATTCAGACCCCAAAGACTGCCTATTTCACTGCTGTTCCATCTCCTCAACAATAGCTTTGTTCTTTTCCTCAATGTCTGCAATCTGCTTGTTACATTCCCTTGCTGGAAAGAAAAAAATCATGTGGTGTAAGGTGGGACTAGCAATACAACAGGAAGGTGTGTACATTAATTACTAATTAAAATCTCTTAATTTTAGAGGTGGAAGCACCTGCTTCCATGTAGAACACGTCTTGAGGTATTTTTGTTCTCACTAAAATTCTAAACAACAATTTACAAAATTCAAGGCATTAGACCTGGAGTCCTGGTGCGATTCCAGCAAGATACAGGATTTATCACTTCCTCTCTCGACCCAGGGTCGCTGTGTGAATGCTAACTAGATAATGTGCTACACTCCACAGCTGCTGGATAGATGCAGCAACTAAAGAATCCCAAAGACTTTTAAGATACAGGAACAAAGAGTCAAAGTATCTGATGGAAACAAGGCTGCACCAAACGTAGAGTCCTCCAGTTTGATTCTCCCCAGTACTCAGTGCACAGCCTGACAGCATCTCAGGGACCTTTCCAAGGGCCTGCCTCAGATCTCCACTGCAGAGCATTAGACCTGAAATGCAGGAAGGAGTCTCTGACTGCCCCAAACCCTGAAGCCTAAGCTCTCCCAGCAACAGCCCCATGGCCTCTGGTAACCCTATGGCTTGCTAATGCAGGGTTCATAAACCGCTCTGACATCCCCATGGAAACAGAGTGTGAGGCCATAAACAGGGGATTAGCACCTCCTAACGCTGAGCAAAGTGCAGAAGGCGACAGCAGCCTTTAGGTTCGCCCCCAAGGCCAGGGGCCATTCAGTCCTGGGAGGGGGAAGACAGCCTGTTACACAGGAAGGGCAGGCTGAGGACGAATCACAGCTTGCAGTCAGAAAGGGCAAATGGAGATGGAGCACAGTAAAACAAGCTTCTGTCAGGCCCCTGCTAGCTGCTCACCCCAACACATTGCTGGTACCCATCCTGAGCACCCTTTTGTCCCAAGTGTAGTTGGGGGCTGGACACTGAAAGGCTGAGAGAGAAGGGACTCTCTATTCTGGACACAAGAAGCCTCAGAGAGAGTCTTACCAGTGCTTATAAATACCTGAAAGGAAGGTACAAAGAAGGCAGCCACGCTCGTCTCTGTGGTGCCCAGCAAAAAGACAAGAGGCAATGCACACAAACTGAAAGAAATGTCATCCATATTTAAGAAAGTAACTCCTTAACTGTGAGTGGTAGAACTCTGGAACAAGCTGCCCAGAGAAACTGTGAATGGTCTACCCTTGGAGATATTTAAAATTTGGCTAGGCATTCTTGGTTAATCAGCAATAAGTGACCCTGCTTGAACAGGTGAGGACTAAATAGTCTCCACAGTACCTGTTCAACCTCAACTGCTCTGTGATGCTGTGACTCCATTTCTGTGGCAGCTTTTTATGTCTGCCCTACTGAATATTAATGAAAGGAGGCAAGTGCAGCTGAAGAAGGGAGGGCAGACTAATGTGTGGCATTCATCATGTGGGGACAGACTGATTGAACGAGATGCAGTTTGTCCTTAAAAGTCTAATGAAAGAACTTCATGACAGTGGACACGCATTCTTTATAAGACCTGCTGCGTAAGGCATGTTCTAGCCAGTTATAAAGAACTGCTTTTTCTCTTCTAACCTACTCCTGAAAAAGATACATGGAAAGACAAGAATATTCACCTGTTCAACTTGGGTTTCCTGGGAACATGCCCTTCAGGAAGTAGAGGCCTGTGGTTTGGCAGCAAACCTGAGATAGAAAAAGAAAGGTGTGAGAATACAGTGCCTGTGTTGCATCTATAGCATCTACAAGTTACTTATACCTCATAAGCCAGGCAACCCAGATCCCTACTGCTAAAACACAACTAGAGCAGAAAAAGTATTTATTCTTTCTTTTGCCATTGCTGAACCAGCACTCTAGCCACAGATTAGTTAGGAGGTTCTGGTGTACACACTGAGAGGAAACACATGCCAAGGACTTAGGGTCAACAAAACGGCTTTTTGAGAGGACATAAAGCACTAAAGTCCAATCAGATTCCACTTTCAGGATGAAAATTTGACTATTAAAATCTTCAGTCAATTTAACTTGGATAATACTCAGACTGTGTTAACCTGGGATCTGCTCCCAGTTAAAAACAAAGATCTTCCCAAGGCAGATAGGAGACAGGTACATTAATGGTTAGAAGATCAAGCTTATGCTAAAACACGTCAATTTAGAAACTGGCATTTAATCATTAGGTACTATACTGAGATATTTCCCACATCCTTCGGCAATGGTAAACTCATCTAGAGGAGTAAATATCTACTGCTAAGGCAGGAACCAAGACAGAAAGAAAGCAGAGTAAGTAGTTTCTTTCTGGCCAGTCATCCTGCCCCAGTACTTGGTGCATGATGGGTTTGCTGACTAGACACTGGAATCTCACCAGCATACTAACTGGGTGAGAGAGCCCTTCCATGGGGCTCTCTACCCCGCACTAAGGATGTTGTCTGAAGGAGGAGGTGAGGTACCTGCGCGGTGTGCCATCTGCACACAGGCGGCAATCTTCTTGTGCTCCTCCAAACAGAGGCCTGTGATCCTTCGTGGCAGCATCCCTCCATCAGAACGGATGAACTGGCTCAAGAGCAAGACATCCTGCAGAAGCAAGAAAAGGGCAAAACCAATGTATTATAGCTCCTTTAATTGCCGTGATTCTTAGGTGTTGTGCTCACGCTGTATACAGAAGTCAATACAAAGCAAACCAAAACAAAGCATACTTCCCACACATTTCAGATGCAGCTTGTCAACAAGTGGGTTTTGCTAGCCATCCCCTTGCCCGCCAGCTTAACCCAGTGAGGTCACTAACATGGTCTGAGTCTTCCCCTGACTTCACTACTGTAAACACATGATGTCAGCTGCAATCCCTACTACTTCACTGTCACTTGCTCCAAGATTCTGGCTAAGATAATGTGTCCTAGGTACTAAGGCACAGTTACACAAGACCTACAGATGGACAGTGTTTACACAACTTGAAACGCCATTACAGCTGCTATCCTAAAGGTCACAGATACGTTAGATCACCTCTGGCCCTTTCCTTGTTCCCCTCAGAGCAGGATTGTTCTCTGGTATCTATTCCTCAAACTTTTGTCCAGTTTCCCATGGTAGAACTTCCCTCATGTCTCTCTGGAGGGTGGAGAACAGGGAAACAGTCCAAAATCTTGCACGAAAAGCTTGTTGTAAGAAAAGAACATATGCTGATAGGAAAGACCTAATAGAATAAATCACTGCTTTCAGTTCTTTGCCTGTGTATGCATTAGTCAGAGATGTTAGAGTCACACTGCACAGAAGGAGCATTCAAAACATACTGAGGGTTTGGCTGAGATTCAAGGATCATTTAGATTAAACTGCTGTTGACCTTCTTAATTAAGAGCTCTAGAAATGTAAAGCACTTTTAATAAAAACAAAATTAAAGGAATCTCTAGAATCAGATATTATCACAGGTCTGAGATTACAAATTCCTAAGCACAGCAGCAACAGCTGTTGCATGAGTGTCCCATTAACTGCACATAGTAAACCAGTCCAGCTCTTCGCTTCCACACGCACCACCACTGCTAGTGCACCCTCAGACCAACACAGGCAGGTCCCCTTGACGTGCTGATGTCTGCATAAGTTGGCCTGAATGGCTTCTGGGGCCTTTGTCCTTGTTTTTCTCCATCTGTTCACAGACTTATTGCTAACTGAGAGTTTACTTCTCCATTACTGTAAACACGTCCATAGTTGAGGTAGCTGGACCACGCAGAGGTGGCTCACAGGCTGGAAGGGACGTGACAACAGACACTTCAACATGCTGGGAATTCAAACCAGGTATATCAGCACTTGATACTCCTCTGCCTGTTTGAGGAGTATCCTTCTCCCTTTTCCCACTCCACATCTATTCTATTTTACAAAAAGCTCTCTGAAACATTCCTTGCTTCATTTACTGCCATTGCAAAGACATACAATCACAAGTGGAATAAAAATGGGCATTCAGAAACTAGAGCTATATTGGATTTATAAATCCATCCCTACTGCATGAGACCAGTTAACCTCTGAAGCGGGCTGCTAGAATTCAGTACAAACTTTCTAGTAATAACCAATTCTGCAATATGAGATGCTGTTATACAAATGCTGCAGTCAAAAATCCAGATGTTTATTTTTCCCCAATCCAATCTTCACTATTGTGATCATGACAATTTCCCTCTTCCCTAGCTCCCCTTCTACCAACTAACATGATCAGGCTGATTTTCAGATCCATCTCCTTCATTTTATAAATACAAAATGACTTATCATTCACCATCCACGGTGATGCTGTATCATTAGAACAAAAATAACATAGCTGAGCAACGAGCAGGAAGCTCTCAAGAGGCCATCTGTGGATAAAAGGGAAGAGAAGTGTCTTCAGTCCAGCTAGTACACAGCCTTGCCAATGAGAACAGTAACCAGGGGATCAGTCGGTGCCAGCTGCGTTGGTGGAAGCTGGGCAGGGGCCAGCCAAGCAGTCCAAGGGCACTGACTTTCAGCCACTCCTGAAATGCGCTGGATTGGATCCAGGAAACCTAAACAAGACTCCTTCCCCCTTTTTCCATCTTCTTTAGCTACCCAGTTCTCCAAATCACCAACACCTCAATTTGCACAAACATATCACATCCTTAAGTGAGAAAGGGCTGTTCAGCTCAAAGTGCCTAGGAAATGAAAAACCCCCTAGGTTTTCTACTGGCCTGCATTACTCTGTGAGAAAGAGGGAAAAGGGAGATGATGGCAAGTTTAAGGCTGTTCCAGTCTTTGCTACAGTGAAAGCCTAAGGAGGCCACAGGCTCTAGTGAAGGGTGTGTGTGGTCCAAGTGCTTTCTCATATTACCACCACGCCTCATGGAGTCACAGGGCTGTTATCGAATATTTCCATGCAAAAGGGGGAGGTGAAAAGTAAAAAGGGAGACAGTGCTTGTTCTCCCACTGGAAAAAAAAAAAAAAAATCAGGAAAATCCATTCTTTGTTATTATCTCTGAGCAACAGTGTCACCAGCTGACCAGCTCTGTGTGGCAGTCATTTCTCAAGTGGAATTGCCTACGTTCTAACTGCCACAGCTTCAAATCACACTCATGCCATTTGGCTTAAAATGCTGCATACTCGACAGAAGGTTTGTCTGTTTCTGAAGATTCCCACAGTTAACAGACCAGGTGCCTGGTCTCCCATTGTAATCACACAGATGCATCTTACCACTGGGAGAAAGCAGACAGGTACAGCCAACTTTATGGGGCAGCTGTGGAGGAAAGTGTGCAAGTACGTAGAAGAGTCAAAGAAAAAAATATGTCTGGCACGTTCTCATGGTGCCGTCATGTTCCATGAAATTCACATTCTGTGCTAATGGACAGCCAAGCCTGTAACCACAGCTTTGCTTTAATCACTGGACAGCTCCCACGAGGCTGGACCCAGATTCCCACCCCAGTAATCTGCAGCGTTTGATGAAAACAAGTTGGATTGAATTAATCTAGGGCTAACAGGCAAATTTTGCAGTTCAGTTTCCTCTAATTGCTGCTAAAGCAAAATGACATATTTACTGCCTAACTCCGACTAATGGTGGTTGAAATGGATAAGGAGAAAAAGAAAAAAGAAAAAAAAAAAAGGCAGCTTAGCCTTCACCTCTACACCTCTAAAAGATCTGGGTAAACTTGCAACCCATTCACAATAATGTGCTATACATAGTGTTTTGTTTAGCAACTGAAATGCAGAGGCATCTCTGCATTTTACTATCTGCAGACAATCTGAAAAGCAATGTCCTTGGCGAGTTATATGCAATTCATTAAAACCTTCACTTACCAGAGTAAGATTTGTCTGCTTAGCCAAATTACTACTGGGTTGTACCAGCCAAGTCATTATTTCCAGTTACACAAGAATATACTTCTTCCTTTCACTCTTACTCCTGGGAGCTGTACACCATCCTCTAGATATTTTGTAAGAAGAGTGCAGATTTCAACCCCGTTGCCTGACAATGATCAAAATCATTTTATTTTTTAAAATCTCCAGTGGCTACAGAAAATAAAATCAACTCTCAGTTTTTAGTGGATGGACATACCCAGATCACAAACTGTGGGAATTTGTGCCTCGGGCCCCTTTATCCTGAGCCTAGTAGAGACTAAGGACTGAACTGGCAATGACAACTGCAGCTCCCTACACCACAGCTGAGGCAAGTTGGAATCATGACCTGAGAGTGCTCACAATGCCTGTTTGGTTGATTAATAACTTAGGAGACATTGGTCTCCCCGTTCTCCGACAGCTAAAGTAACTCATTATGCCACTACTTTAGACTGTGCTAGTTGCCCATCACAAAAGAAAAGTCCTATGAGGTCATATTACTCAGCTCCCTCAGGGGCTAATTCAACACTTCCCTTTTCATAGTGCCTTATTCATTCCAATTACAAGCGTCCCAAGCAAAAAAGCTCACACTTTCCCTTCTGTGCAACTGACTGATCTCAGCTTATCAATCTCAAAAGAACCACTGTGATCCATCTATTCTAATCTCTTACCAAACACAGGTTATAGTTTATGCTTTATAAACTAGCCTGTGTCTTTAACAAAAATAGCTGTTCTCGATTTACTGTCTTTTAGGATAATTCAACCACCAGCGAGTAAATTGTGCCACCATTTAATTACCCACACAGTAATGTGTCTGCCCTTTATTGTTTGAGCACTTCAAGATTCTGCTAGTCATCACTGCTGTAGCATAGAAAAACAGCAGAGAGCTTTTGTGCAAAAAAAGGGAGGTTTTATTCACCTTAACATTTAAAAGCCCATACATTCTCAACTGGCATTCAAACATATAACACACTTATTCAAGCAGAAGAGGTGATCTACTCCAGAACTGAAACTTTCCTAGTTCACATCAGCCCTGGAATTCCGTGGAGGAACAGCTCTAAATACTGAGGCAAGAACATGCTACAACTTGGATATGCTAGTTCATGCTACTATCTTCAGCCTTTTGTCTAGATTCTATTCTGCTCTGCAGCAGGAGTACTGGATGTATATACTCAGAAACATAAACATTCAGAAACTATGCAACAGTCAGGATGGACACGTATCTAGGATTTCTTGATTTTTGGGAACAGTCTCAACAGTGATTCTAAATATTCTGGCTGCAGGTAGCCCCCACCTGGGGCCTACATGCAAGCCAGGCCTCCTGCTCTGTACCTAATTCAATGCTTAAGTTATTTCTGTTGCTTAAATATGTATCTGTTTAGTTTGTTTTTTTTTTTCCCTGCTGCCTTGCAGTAGTCATCTGCAAGACTGTCATTAGCACCCAGATATCCAAACAGTTTTTCATCTCTGCGTGCACTAGGACTGCATGTGAGCAGCTCAGTCATTGTGCAGCTAACAGGGCTTTCAGTTTCTCTCACATTAATGGTCTTCCTTTCTCAAAAGTATTTATTTTCCTCCAGATGTATTTGTATCTCTTTCACCTTAATTCTATTGGCATTAACTTGTTCTGACTTCTCTGTTACCTAATCTTAGTAACAGGATGTTCTTGTCTGGTTTTCTTTTTTGATTCCAGCACTGGTATTTTAGGGTGGTGGGAACACTTAGTTCTTTTATGACCTCTGTGTTTGAATGACCTCTGGTGAGGCTACATCTGGTGTCTTCTACCTCACACTCTCTATTCTATGGTGCTTTTGCTTTAAAGAATTACAGAGTTTCCCCTCTATCTTCCACGTTTAGTGTTATTAATACTCTCATAATCATTTCCTGCAAAAGACATCAATCAAAATCTGTTTTTTTCTGTTGCTAAGGGAAGTAAGCATGTGTGCTCTACCTCATATCCATCAAGAACTTTAGAGTTCTTAAGTTCAGTTACTACCTTAGTGGACAGTGATCCAAAATGAAACCATGGTGCTCAAATACACAATTGATTTAATCAAGTTTATTGGCCTCTCTGGCGTTACAACAGGCTTGAATCTGATAGTTTAATATTGCATTCCAGTTCCATTTAACTAGATGTGCAATGCTGAAGGAGAGCTAAGCACACTAGAAACACATGCTCTAGGATCAGATGGTAGGATCAGATGGTAAGCAGCAATGGGCACATGCATAATCCCAAACCTCCTACTTGATATGAGAAAATCCCCCTCCTTTTTTTTTTCCCTCCAATGAACACGACCAGCCAAGGCAAGCAATTACAACATAGGAAGTTATTCTTGTTACAATCAAGGGAAGCATAGATGGAATTGCCTATTTTTACTACACCCAGGGAAAGAAGAAAGGAGGCAGACTGCGCAGTACATTACACCCGAGAGCAATATTTATCCACTTGTGGGGAATACTACTTCATTAGACTTACCACATAATCGTACTTATGCTTCAGGTTCCAGCGACAGATAGGACACTGGCCAGAGGGGTTAGGAGGCGTTGGTGTTTCAACATCCTCTATAATTTTCCCTTCAATCTAAGAAGCAATTCATAGAATACAATGAATGAGTAAGGATTCCATAGTACCTGCACCTAACCTCCTCTGTGACTAGAGGAATATCTTTCATCAAGTCTACAACATGCTGACCAGTATTGCACAGGTGTAAGGGAGACAGGATTTGCATTATACAACTCACTTGTATATATACATATATATAAATATATATATATATATATACACACACACACGCAAATCAAGCACTTCAGGAATGCAAAGACAATAGGGATAAAAGAAAAGGGGCACAGAAAACCATTTGGTAAATCTTATATATATTTTGTTCAAATCTAAACTAGTACACAATGTGAAGTTCTCATTCTTGCTTGAATTCCACTTATTGTGGTATTCCTTTGAACCACTATGCCTTGCAATTGTAGCAGTCTGTTAGCCAAAAGCCTTAAATATTTTTGCTGGGAATATGAGAGTATCAGAGAGTATCAGATGCTTGCTGTGGGCCGAAACACGCATAGGCTTGCTGGATTATAAACCACCAATGGGGAAAATTATGAGGAAAAAAATCAGACAGGAATGTTGTGTGCTTTTTTCGTTCTTTTTAAAATTACACTAATATTTTTTCTAGTTTAATTCCCTGAACAATTCCTTTGGGAGACTATTTTACAACCTTTTCCTCTGTCACTACAAAATGGTGACATCTAACACGCAAATTTTCTTAACTTTCTCAAAAGAAATGTAGAAAAATGCAAAGAAATGTAGAAGGTGTACGTAGGAGGAACTTGAGAAATTTGTTTTCTAAATGTAGATGTTAGGAATATGATGTCTACATAAACATGTACTTGTCTTTCTTTTTTTTTTTTTTGAGGGCTTATATGAATAGAAGCAAGAGCTATCAACTTGCAGCTGAATGGACAGAAAAGACAAAAAAGACGAAGCCAGTTTTTCTTCAAAATGTTCTGGAAGAAGAAAATTTCTGGTCAAGATTAAAACCACATATGGAACACCAACTGCTAGGGTCAAATAGTTCAAGTAACACAGAGTTTAAAAAAATCCTAACTATCTAATTAAAGTATGCCATACTGTGGATGAACACAACTTCGCTTGTAAGGAAAAAAAAAAAAAAAAAAAAAAAAAAAAAAAAAAAAAAAA